TTTATTAGAAGAAAATTTAATTTAATAGAAAAAATCTAATTTTAAATATATGATTTTTGAATATATCCAAACATGTATTTAAAATTTATTTTTTTATTTTATCCAAACAATAAATTTTAAAATACATGTATTTAAATTACATATATTTTAAATACATATATTTTAATTACACTCATCAAATTCAAATTTAAGTTTCTAAACACAATCATGTTGATCTTTTTTTTTGTTTTATTTTTTAATGTAATTTTATTTTATCTTGTTAAAATTAAAATTTATAATATCTAAACTACTAAAATTCACTTATAAATAATAAATTTTAAAGATAATTACCTTTTGTAGAATTAACATTTTCTTTTAAAAATATTAGAGAATAAAATTTCATTATAATAATAATTATTGTCAAAATCTTATTTTAACCAATCCTACAAAATTATGAAAAGAGTCAATAATCAAGAATTATTTGAAAGAGTTTAAAATATATAATCATTTTAAAACTATTATTTACATGAAATTTTAAGATGTCATTTATTTTATTAACATAGCTTTTTGTTCATTTAATTTGAGTGTGTCTCTTTAGAGGGAAAAAAAGATGAGTACATATTATTAATAAAAAGAACATTTTGCTCAAAAAATTAAAAGAACCTTTTTTTTTTTTTTTTTTTAAGTTAACCCCATTTGCACTATAGTTGGTGTTGTATTGTTTGCTTCGAGACGTTTCATCGTTTTATTGGTGCTCAGCTGCTGTTCATAAAATATATTTTGTTAATTGTTATTTAATCTAAAATTTTAGCATGCTATTTATTTTAATTAAATTTGGTTGAATTTTTAATTAGTATTTAGTTTAACATTTGTCATCATTAAATACTTGATTAATGTCAATAATCAAAAATAAATATTTAAATTTAAAATTTTATTTTTTATTAAATAAGTCAATCTATGAATCCACAAGTTAAATATTTTTTAATTCGTAATTTTTTTTTTATATTAACTTTTTGATATTTGATAATTACATTAGCTCTCGATTAATTCAGAATCGAATCGTATCGAATCCTATTAAGAAAAGCTCTCTCAATATTTATTTCTCTATTCATAAGACTCAAACTGGATATCTTACTTAAAAAAAAATCAAAATTTTTTCATACTAATCAACAAATCGTTGATTCTAATCCATAATTCATTTGGGTCAACTTCTCTGATTGTTATCGAGTTACGGGTCCAAAAATATAAACGATAACCCGGTTATACGGGTTGGGTTAGGCCTAGTTGATGGATTGAATTCACTTTTGTCACCTCTGCTGGAGACGAATAAAAGTGATTGCATGTTTTTGCAATTAATCTATTCAAATCTGAACTTTTGATTTATGGGTGGTTGAAAACAATATCACTTGTTACCTATTTGGTTAAAGTTTGAAGGTTATTGATCTTATTCCTCTCTTTTATGTTTCAAAAATTGTACTATAAAAAAAAAAATCTATTCAAATCTTATTCTCTTATTATCTTATAAAAATTATTAAAATTATTATCAATAAATTTTTAATAAATACTTAATAAATTTTAAAATCTTCAATAAATCTTTTTAAAGTATTAAAAAAAATCTTAAATAAATAACCAATGACCTCTCTCTTAAGAGTTTAAAATTCACCTAAAATTTAAGAATCTAATAATTTAATTCAAATTGCATATTATCCTGACTTTAATTTAATTTTTAGATTCTAATTCAAATTCCAATTAAATTTAGACTTTCCTGGTAACCTAATTATAATTTCAATTCAACTTCTAATTAAATTTGAACTCAACCTTTACTAGGAGTAATTATATAAATATAACATAGATTTAAGGTTTAATAATTTAGAATTTAAAAATGGTAAGACTTAAATATAAATTAAAAATTATAAGATCAAAAGAATAAAAATAAAAAATACAACGGTTTGACTTAAAAACTTCTTAACCCTAGAAGAAAATATAGGAGATCGAATAAGGTTCTCTATACAATTTCTTAATTCCTTTTCGTGTGACCCTCTGTGCCTATGCTTAATCCTTATTTACATCTCGATTTCTATTAAGTGTTTGATTCTTCTTTTACCAATAGAAGAATCAAAGCTTAATTTAGTAGCCTTGTTGAAGCTGATGAAAAAGATGGACGTAACCACTGTAGGATCGGATAAAACTGGATTAAGGAAGGGAGTGCATCTTTCATCTAACTTTGCTCAAAGGGTAATGTTTTGTTTGTACTAATGTTTTTAATTTAGTTATTTGAGTTAATTGATTTTTATAATAAACAAGACAGGTTGATTATTGAATGATATTATACTTTCCACACCCTTATCTCCAACGTACTTCAAATTTATTTCTGCATTGACTTATTTTTTTATTTAAATTTCTAGTGTGAAGGAAGTTGTTTGTTTGAGGAGGTGGATTCCTTTGGTAAATTGACAGATGATCTTCTTGTTTACATTTTGTCTCTAATGAATTTGAAAGACGCAACAAGAACCAGTGTCTTATCCCGTAGATGGAGGAACTTGTGGACATACACAACTAGATTGTGCCTTGACAGTTCACTGTTAGTGGTGGACTCAAAGAAACGTGCAGGGAAATCAACTAAAGTTCTAAGCATTAGGTTCATTGATTGGATGAATAAGATATTAGAATCACATCAAGGTGGAAGAATAGATGAATTCACCACACGCTTTGAAATGGATGACAGAATTTCTGAACATGATATTGATGATTGTGTCAAATTTGCATTGCAGAAGAGAGTTCAAAGGCTTCATTTGGATTTAGCAAGTTTACAAATTTCTTCTGATTATGGAAACTACGTTCTTACGACACAGCTGCTTTTCAATTACAAGCTTACTTCCTTAAAGTTCCTCCATTTGAATGAAGTGGAGGTGGCTGATGAGGTTCTTGAGTATATTGTATCCCACTGCCCCTCTCTAGAAGTTTTAAGTGTTACAACTTCAGAATATGTAGTGGAACTGAAGGTTCTAGGCTCATCGCTCAACTTTATATTGGGGCTTGATAAATCACTGTTCGGGTTGGACACATCAGACGACGATTCACTATACTCATCAGATTCGGAGTTGGAAGAATTTATGTGGCAATTGGATGATTCACAGTTCGAGATGGATGCATCTATGGATGAATTGATTGAAGCTAAAAGGTCTGGTTTCATTAATTGCGTGAACAAGGTCTTGGAGTCATATCAAGTTGCAAATATTGATGAATTTACTGTTTGCTTTGATATGGGTGGTGAAAGTTCTGCTTGTGAAATTGATGGTTGGATTAATTTTGCATTTAAAAGAAGAGTTCAAAGGCTTCATTTGGATTTTCAGAGTTCAGACCATGAAAGCTACATTCTTACGATGGAGTTTCTTTGCAACAACAACCTTTATTCCTTAACAGTTCTCCATTTAAATGCAGTGAAAGTGACTGATGAAGTTGTTGAGTATATTCTATCCCATTGCCCTTCTCTAGAAGTGTTAAGTGTTACAGCATCACATTCTCTAAAGCATCTGAAAGTTTCAGGCCCCTCCCTCAAGTTAAGGTGCTTAGAGATAATAGATTGTGTCTCTATGAAAGATTTTGTGATTTATGCAACAAGTCTTGTGTCACTAAAATATTCTGGTCCTAAAGTAAAAATGTCTTTTTATATTCCCAATGTTATTGAGGCATCTATTGGGGGCTGGCATGCTTACTTTTTGGTAAGAAATATTCTCCAATTTTCGGGCTCTCTGTATCAATTAGAGACTCTTGCATTGGACATGGCAGTCAAGGTTAGTAACTCAAATCTTGTCTCAGTCAGCATGCTCTTTCTAATCATTTTTTCAGTCTCTCTATCTCTCTTATAGGTAAACTAGTTTTATTCGTGCATTGATTCTTTATGGAATTGTTAGGCATTCAATAAATTTCCCAGATTTCCAGAGTTAAGGAATCTCAAGCAGCTAGAACTGAAGTTGAATGCATTTTGTGAAGTCAACCTTGACTACTGTGCGATGCTGCTAGCTGTGTCTCCTACGTTGCATAGATTGACATTAAAGGTGAGTCTTTTCTTTACAAACCTTCTGTTCATGGAATAATGACTTATTGTTGGTTGTTAAAGCCTGTGAATCTTGTAAAATATCTACTACTGTAAATCTCCTTGGCAGAAAGGTAAATGAGTCGGATTATGCCTGTATTCGACCAGAAGCATTATAGATATAGCTGCTCTTCGTAAGAACTTAAAGTTTATAGATTACATGACTAGGATGTCAGGTCCTTAAAACTCACCAAGCTACGATATGCAAACTCCTCTATAGCTGAAACATGCCCTTCTATAGTTAACCTACCCTCATCCGCTTGTAATTGGCAGTTAATCTACCATCTAAAAAGTATTAGCTGTAAGCTGCTTTAAATTGCGTACTACAGGAATGCTCTGTGCCCCAGATCATCAAGAGACATTATCATTGTCATTGATAGGAGACCATTACAGCGCCGTCCCTGGTAAGTTGTGGTGCAAATGATAGATATCTCATCACTATCTTAACAATCACTAGTCATTACAGTTTGTACTTTTCATCCTCAAAGCTAGTTTCATGGAAGAAGGAAGATGTGGAATTTCCTTCTGTTTTACGTTCTGGTTCTCTTTATGAATTTATGTATCTTACAGAAACTGAAAGATTACAAATGCATTAATGAAGAATATTAATCAATATCATCAAACTGAAAAACTTAAAAAGATTATAGACCAAACTCGTGGGATTAATGGCATCAAAAGAGTAGCTCAAATTAATGAAATGATTAAAATCAGGTGGTTGTTAAATTAGATTGACAGGATTTAAGGGGGTAAAGCATGTAGGAAACTATAGCAAAGTTTATTAGACTTCATCTATTCCAACCATAATGTAGTAAGTGTGCCACTGCCAAATCTAGTTTCGGATTTCCCTTTGGTAAACTCTTTTATTTAAAGTGATTTCCTCATCTGTGATTTCTTGTGGCAGATTTCTTGTATACCAGATATGTTTGGCTCCAAATCGACTTCTTATTTGCGAAGAAGTACAAAGCAAACGTTGGAAAAGCAACATCAATGTTTGAAGGTGGTTGAAGTGTGTGGTTTTGTTGGAAAGCGTAAATCTTTTTTTGGCCCTAAGGATGGTGACCTTAAACTGGTGCAAGGTTTACTTAAAATGGTTGCATCACTTGAGAAGTTGGTGATCAAACTGGATGAGAGTTTGAATCGCAAGGGTGAGTTAGCTGCTAAACGGCACATAGAAAGTCTAAAAACCAGTTTGCCTTCTGGGTCTGAATTGGTGATATTCTCTGGTGCATCCAACTTTCCAGCAAAGTGAGGATTTCTTTGTTGCTTCGTTTGACTACGCTTTTATTCCATTTTCTTTTAACACAATTGGCTATCACATTTATATAATATGCTAATTTATAGTTAAAATATTAACTATATTCTTTACTGTATTATATAATTACCAAAACTAACAAGAATATAGAGTTAACAGCTTAAATATTTACTGTGATAGTAAAAGATTTTGAATTTAAATGACATAATTCATGGATAGATTAAGAGATGACAAAGAATTGTTAATGTATAACAAAAAAAACAGCAACGTGGAAAAAAGGGTTACCAACTTTTAAATTAGAAAAGGGAGTTCAAAGGCTTCACTTCATTTTTTTCTCTTCTTTTGTACCCCGCACGCCCATCAGACCACCTTTTATATGATTTTATGGGCTGCAAATATCCTAAACCCTAACCCAATAAGAATAACATAGGCAATTAAGTCGGCCCATCTACCAATGCTGAGGCTACATAGGCTTAACATGAATTGGACAAATTGTACAGGCCCATGTATAATAAATGAGTGCTCTATTTTACTGTCGAGATTGAATTAAGGGTTTTTTTAATTTATGTTGTTAAGGTATAAGTTAAAGATATGTTTTTTTAATAAATTTTTATAAAAAAAATATAAAAATAAACATTAATTTTAATGTTAAATAGATGTAAATAAATTTAATTAAATAATTAATAAATTAAATATTATTTTTATTTTTTAAAACTCTTATATATATTAAAAAACCTTTTGAATTAAATTACCAAATAAAAAATAGTTGGATGTAGGGAACAATAATTTAAATTATTTTATAATTTGCTGCGGATGGAGCGGATCAGACCATATAAACCTTTTTTTGATAATAAGTAACCTAAAAATCGTTTAGTCCCCATTGCCTATTTAGAAAAAAAAAAAAATGTTTAGTCCTTACTACAAGACAACAGCCCAAACCACAACATCCCTCCCGGGACTTCTAAATTCTTAGGCGTTTTAGTTTTTCTTTTACTTTACAA